TCCTTTTCCTTTGCCAATCTTGGTAGGAACTTACTTAGGTAAGTAAATTGCAATTTTAACATTGTTTTTATGTACAACAGAATTTTAAGAAAATATTAGTCTAGGCGGTGTTTGGTACCATTTATGCTCTGTTCTGCTTGTTGCACTTGCATTCCTGAAAGTTTATAGCCTTTGCTTGTTAGAAGGTGGGCACTCAGTCTGCTCACTGCGGTAACAGTCTCTTGGCAGTTTAAGAAAGAGAAGGGTACTAAAGCATTCTTACAAGCTTGCAAAAACTGTATGTGTGTATATGTCAACACACAGAGGCTACTTCAGGTGAACCAGTAACTTGGAAGTGAAATCCTTGTTCATCAACCCTCATTCATGCATGAACTTTTATATTTTTTTCTAGCTTGCTCACAAATGCGGTACTGTTGATGGTTTTGTTACTGATGGGAAGGATGGAATCCCAGGAGGAGGATTACTTTTGGAAAAGGAAAATGCATATAAAGAGTGTATGGATTTTTGAAAGCAATGTATTTTAGTATAGTAAACTTGCTGGTTGTGAAAGCGTGTGTTAAATTCTCTACATTCATTGTGACTGGAGATGTGCTTATGTGCATATTGCATGTTCTGCATGATACTTCTCTTTGGTAAACAGAAGTTAAAAACAAAATGCCATCTGTGACTAATTGCTTGATGTCCTTATTGGTTAAAAAAAAAAAAAAAATTAATTATGTCAACATGAGGTGAAGGACCCATATTTTTGTGTGTGGTGGATGTGCTGAAGATTGGAGTTAGTAAGCTTGAGTAAATATAAATTTAACAACTCTAGGTTATGTCCAGTGGTTGGAAGCTGGGCTACTCTTCTTCCTTGGTACTAGGGTCAGCTCTGTACAGACTTCTTGTGCCAAACTATGAAATGGTCTGTAGATATACAGGCAACAGTGTATGTGTTCAGGCATGGAAAAGCGCTGGAAAGTTTCTACCCAAACAGAAAAGTGGCCAGGCTTGGTGCTTATTCTGCAGCTTCTTGATGCTTGCTGTAGTAACTTCATGGAAATGTCCCTGCACTCCAGTCTGTGTTGGGCATGCTGCTGGGGGTTTAGGCTCTCCTGCTTCTCAAAATGTCAGTTGTGTATTGTGTAGAGTCGGCAAAAAAGCAGGCTGAATTTGAGCCGTGGGAGTAATTTTTGAATGCTGCCATTCAGATGTTGAGATCCTCTCACTGGACTCACAGAGGATGGGGCTGGATTAGCAAACAGCATGCATGTCTACTCTCTGGCTTCCAGTGGGACCAGATGTGTGCTGGTTTGCTTCCCATCGGGAAATTAGATTCCCCCACTCCACTCTGTGTTGTCGAGTGCAAACTTTTCCCTACTCCCACAGCATGTTTTTGGGGTGGTGCTCTGGTTGCTGACAGAAGTTTAGGTATTCTGTCACTTTTAAGTTGTTGTTGGTTTTTTTTTTTTTTAACAAATCTGAAAGCATTAGATTCAGATGATATGAGATTGCTGGAAAAGAAAGAGGTTGGTTGACTGACAGGTGGTTCCCCACATTCCCGAAAGATGAAACAAAGCTGTGAAGTAATAGCAATAAGAGACTTGTTTTGCTGTTTGTTATAGTCCTTCCCCACCTGTCTTTCTTTGGATGAAACTATATTCATCTGCAGCTTTGACACTTCAAGAATCAAAGGATCATTAGGGCATAGTAACCTACTGTGGCTGGTTTTGAGCCAAAATCTCTGTAATTATGCTTATGCTTGAGGAACAGTTCTGAGGTCTTTGTCACTTCGTTGTAGGGAGTGGAGGAATGCTCTGAGGGTGTCATTTAATCTCCGTACTGTGATTAGGTGCTTTACTGCTGTTTCAGTAACCATGTAGAATTGTCTGTGGCAGAGGATATTTATGCCTCTCTGCAGATAAACTTTAAGTTTACCTTATCTTCATTTTATCCTCTGAGACTTTCTCTTTATTTCAGTATATAGAGGAGACTGGCAGGAGATTTTCTAGGGCTTCAGGGTTTTTCAGTGCTATGGAAAAAAAAATTACTCTTGATTTTTCAGAATATATTTCAGTTTCTTTGGCTGCAAAATAATGGAAGACATGCTTAGATTCATCATTGTAGACTTTTACACTTTGTGGTTTTAAAGGTGTGGTCGATCCTGAAAACACCTCATTTCTTTGTTTGTGTTTTCTTTGTCTCATTTGGAGGAAGTTACTGTTGTTTCTGATGTGGAACTATGGAAATTCAAGCAGTTGGACCTTAGATATCATCGAAAGGAATACTCATATTTTCTACCCTGTGGCTTCTTTAGAGATCCCTCATAAATAAAAGACAGGGTTTTTTCCTGGAGAGGAGCTGCCAGAACCCTGTTATATTTTGCTTCTGGTTTATAATCATATGCTGTCTTACATTTTTAACCTGCTTGTGGATGCATGTATGTGAGGAGTCTCTCTCAAACCTTGATCTGTGAAAATGGAGCAAGCACCTCAGGGAGGACTAAGTTTCATATGGTGCGTTACCTGTCTGTATCACTCCTTAGCCGGGGACGGGGGATGAGGGATTGGTTTAGTTCTTAGAGGTGCTTGTCTCGCAGACCTCCTCTCTCACACAGAAGCCACCAAAAACTTCTGGGTGAGAATCCATTGTTTCCAGTACAGATGCATCCTGTTGACTTGACAGCTGTTCTGCAGTAAGTTACAGATGTTATGCTGTCTCTCTGCATCTCTTTGGTGACCATTGCAGGTAAAAGTTGATCATTTAATAGCAGTGCTTCAGCTGGAGATGCTTTTAGTGTGGGGTTTTTTTAATTGCAAACTGAAGCTAGTCTTTTTAACGTCTGTTTTCATTCTTTCAAACTCCAGTTATCGGAAGTGTGACTAAAGGGAAAATGCACAGATAGAGAAGTTTAATATGCTCGTTGATACCTTATTACTGTGATAGCAAGAGTGAGTATAAATTGTATTGAAATTGTAACTTTGTTTTGTGTCCTGTTTTACTGGAGCAAAAAGTTGTCATGGCAGCTTTATCCTGGAAATTCCAGCTTAGGGGGTGAGGTGTGTCCCTGTTGTTAGCATTGCTTCTTTCCTTTTTGAGGGCTCTGAAGCTTTGAGGCTCGGAGTAAGTACCAGTTCTGCTCAGCCTTCACTCTGTTTGTATCAGTCTCAACATCTCTTCTCACCATGGAATATTCTGGGTTAATTCTGGTGCTTGGGAATAGCACTGTTTACTGTCTGTTGTGCATCCAGCAATAGTCATTGCAGCAGCCATGTATCAGCTGGTCCTGTAGGCTAGTCTCTTCTGGCATCAAGAATGTTCTGAGTACAAGAAAAGAGCTGATGTGGAGTGTGGTTAACATGAAATGTGTGGCTTCAGTCTAGGGACTAGCATCGGTTGATTTACATCTCTCAGTTCCGGAGAATGGAGAAAATATTATCTTTCTGTTGTGGAAGGGGCAAGAAAAAACAAGTGCTTGAGCTTAGCTCTAAAGCCAACAGATTCAGGTTGCATCCTGCTGGCTGTGCTGTTTCCCAGCATCTGTGGAGCTCTTTGTCCATCCATCTCAAACAGCTGCTTACAGCTGTGGTTTGGATGCAGTTGCTGCTCCCGTGTAAAAAGGAATTATTATCTGTCACCTACATTGCCTTTGTCGACATCCAAAGGTTGTTTTCGTGGTTGAAGTAGCTAACAGCGTACATCTACGTAGAATGGAAAATATACTTGATATCAACTGTTGATTTTAATGTGTGTTGTGATACTCAATGCTCAGAAAATGTCCCCCGTTCCGCCTTCCTCCCGTCCCGATACATTGCTGTGCCGTGTGTTTCCTGGCATACTTGCTGTGAGTACACTGTGTTTGGATTTACCAAGGAGAACCTCAAGGAATCTCTGGAGTACGGACCGTGACCTGTAAAAGTTCATTTTTGCTGGATTCTTTAAAAAGCTTTGCTATTTCATCACAGCCTAACTTGCTAGCAGTGGGAAGTTTCAAAAGTCAAGCTGGGAAGCTTGCTATAGATGTGAAAGCAGAATTCATACTGATAACTTCTGCAGCCTGCAACAGCATTTGCCGATTCCCGTCCTGTAGTACCTGTTGGATTTGGTGTACTAACATTTTGGTTCTCAGCCAGAAGGGGCTGAGAAAGATGGTTTGGTGCACTGATGTTAATGAAATGATGGGTTTTGGGAGGATGCATCTTAGAAAAGTAAATGGTGCTAAGAAAAGGCTTATTAGGCCTCCCAGTCCATTCTGTGCCATACCCTGCTGCCTTTAGCAACACATCATTCTCTTCTATCTCTTTGTGTGTCCTACAAGGTCTCATGTGTAAAGTTCGGTTCAGTAAACACACTATGGCAGCATGATGGAGTATCTGATAGTATAGCAAATAAGCTTGGGAGATCAAACCAGTGCACTCGGTGCTGCTGGTGTTACTGGGGAAGGGCTTTGTGTGATGGCTGGAGTCGCGGTGCTGTGTGACTGACGGAGCTACACCCTGTGGAGGTATTTACTTGTGGTAGGGTCAGAGTCTGTTTGCTAACAGCTTGTAGCTAACGTCTGAGCCAGAGAGTTCACTGGGGATCCAAGGATGATAGGAAAGATGTATTTGTTACTGTCTTGACAGTGTATAATACTTTCTGCTTTCTCCTTCTCGGTGTCAGTAAATTCCTCCAAAACTAAAACAGAACGCCAGATTTTCCCCAAGACTTGAGCAAAACCTCAGATCTGAAAGAGGAGGTGCACTTTTAGCAGTAGTTTGAAGAAAGGTGTGAGTAAATGGAGGAGAGACTGGGCGAACGGAATGTGTTTTTAACTTGGCGCCTCTGCTCTTCAAACCATGTTGTTAAGGAAGCTCTTAGTTACCTTTCTAGGAGAGGAGAAGTTAGTTTCGTAGACAATTCTTGTTGTAGCAGAACAACACAGTTGCAATCCATAGCTGCGTGTGTTTTGATTTTGTACTTTTTTTCTGTCTTGGAAAAGCAATGGTCTTACCAGCTCTATTCTCTTTCCTGTTTGTTAGGTCTGCCTAACCACGGACAAACCAGACAAATGGTAAGAGAATGTTCATTTAACCAAAACAGGGACAAGAGGAATTATTAACCCACATTAGATAGAACACCCCATTAAACCGTAGCATTTCACTTCCGTCTTTGCTGTTTACAGCTGGTCATACTTCCCAATTAATTGAAAAGTTTAAAAAAAAATTATTTTGGGGCATATGAAACATCCAAGTGGTTCAATACAATTTAAATCTCAAATCTATCTATCTCTCTATGTGTATATAAATGAGATTGAATGGAACATTTTGTTTCTGCTCATACAGAAACTGAGTGGCTGTTTATAGCAAAGTTCTGGGATGTGTTTCTAGATGGAATGTGTTTCCCTGAAGGAGGAAGGTTTAAATGATGGAAGGGTTTGTTTGGAAAACGGTTTCTTTTTTTTTTTTTTTTTTTAGGAAGTTGGTGTGCAAGTTGTCTTCTGCTGGGAATGCGTGGTTTTTATGTTCTTTTTTTTTTTTTTTTGAGTAAAAAATTTTTCCTAGCCTTTCATCCATTATGCTGAGTTTTATCAAAGGACAGAAGCAAATAGCCAGTCTGATTGATGCATCTCTGGCAAAATGCTTTCTCATTAGATTCACTTCGGTGTGAAGGGGCCAGCACAAAGCCTGTGCGTCACTTTCGCCCCTTATGCATGGCTTATGGGAGACTCATGGGAGAGAACTTCAAGCATAAATTGTATTTCCCCCAAAATGATCTTCTGGTGTTGATCAAGTGGAGCTTGCCTCATTAGGTGAACTGCCACAGTGTATTAGCATCACTAGAGTCACTCTGACGTGGGTCAGTCAGCAGCAGGTATGACTGATGGTCACTGGATGGTGATCACAGGCATTACTAAATCTAACAATGTTCTGGGATAGCGTGCAGTATCGTGAGGGTAGGCTATAACTCGAGCATGCTAGTCTGCGTGTCATAACGAAGCATTCATTTGGTTTGTGGCTTGAGCATCTGATCCGAAGCGGTAAATTTCATTCGTCCATGAATTCAGCTTCATTCCTTGTCACTGAGGAGACTGGCTACTTGTTTGTGTCTGCTGAATAAACCAACTCAGTGCAGTGGGAGAAATCTGTGATGACCTAACACTTTTTAGGTGTTTTAGGGTGAAACCGCTGAACTGCCTTGATTTCTGGTTGCTTGATAAAGTGTGCTACTGAACTGAAAATTAAAGGTCCACATTTCAGGATGTGCCATTTGAAACAGATTGCTCTGTGCAGGTAGAGAAAAGGCAACCTGTAAGCACAGGGGTGCCCCTTCTAGATATTTCCAAGAACTTTCTCCACAGTTACTCTCCTGTGTATGTAGCACATGCAGAGGAAATATGCTTTGCAACACTAATGAAAGGATTTTCTTGGAGAAATCTGAAGGGGGTAGAAACAAACAACAGAAAAGCTTTTTATTTGAAACCTTTTCCTTCATAAATCTCAAATATAGAAGCAATTCTTGGAAGTATTTCAGTGGTCTGCTGTGGTGCTGAAGTTGTCTTGTATAACATGGAGCTGGGCAACTAAGAAATTAAATTGTTACTGCACTTGTATACAACAGCTTTACAGAGCTTAGGATTTTAAAAGGTGGGATTTGGGTTTTTTAGCTCTAACCCTTTAATTTTCTACAGGAGGTAGATCTTGCTAGCACAGTTGATTAAGGCTGGTCAAAAAAAAAGGGTCATCTATCACTTTTTGTTTTCTCCTCAGATAAAAATGAGATAGATAGATGCAGGGTTTTGTTGAGTTTTTTCCTTGGTTGACAGACTGAAGTCTTTCCTTTCTAAGTCAAAGTGTTAAAATTTGGTTGAGCTTTTGCCATAACCTGGCACTTAAGGACTCAAATACCTCATGTCCCCACCTTTCCTTCTGGGGTGGATCTCCCAGGCCAGACATCCCTCACGTGCATGCTCAGTTTCCCATTTTGTGGGCAGAAAGGGAAGCCTTGGTGCACCTGGGGAGATGGCCTGACCTCGGACGATGGCCTGTGAGATGCCAGAATTAAATTTCTAGTGAGGCGTTTTCTGACCAGCTTTAGTTTATGCATGTCAGATTTTCTGGGCCATTACTTTGCATCTTTCCTGACTGTCCAGTGTGACTGATTTCAGTGGGATTTCTCAAAGTGCTGATCAGCAGTAAGAGGGGCAGCAGAACTGGACTTCAAATGATCAAGGACAGCTGCATTTGAGAAGCTTAATACTTTACTCCCTTTCATCTGCTCCTCTCTTAATAACAGCTCATGTTTGTCCATTTGAGTGGAAGGGGGCTACTGTGGGTCCGGAAAATGATACCTGTGTTGATTCGCAAAGCAAATGTGTTATATGTGGGAAATCTGTGGTGTTAAATGCTGAAACGATTTTATGATGAAAGCTGCTAAGCTTTGTAGTACTAGATTTGCTTTCAGCAACATATTTAATGATATACTATCCTCCTTAAATGTTAACCTCCCTAGAACAAAAAGGATACGGGTAAGTTTGGTACCCCAGAATAACTGTGAATTCTGATTTTTATATTTGATTTTGCTGTGTAGCTAGATTTCCTTTCCTGAAATCAGTAGAGTTGCTCTAGATTTATGGTAGTAGCTGAAATCTAAGTCTTATGCTCAATCTTTAGAATTTGATGTCGTCTTTCAGACACAAGCAACAGATTATTGGTAATGCCTTCCACTTATTATGTGTCCTGTCGCTGGAGTATTGCTGTCCTGTTGTATATTGAAGGTGCCGAACTTCTACTGCTTGTGGACTATTGCTTTTATGTGAATTCTGTGTTCAGTCATGGGCAAGAGGGGAAATATTTACCATAAACTCTCAACAACGGATGCAAAAACTTTAACTTTCTTTTCCTTTGAGTGCTTATCACATGCTACTGCAGGTTTGTTGCAGACCCTAATTGTGCTTTTTTATGTATCACGTTAGGGACCAAGCCGAAACTTGCTGCTCAATGGGAAATCATACCCAACAAAAGTCCGATTAATTCGTGGTGGATCCATGCCTCCAGTGAAAAGGAGGAGAATGAACTGGATTGATGCACCAGATGATGTTTTTTACATGGCCACTGAAGAAACCAGGTAGGAAACTTGGTCTTTCAGAGGATTTAAGGGGAGGTTTGTTGGTTTGCATTCCTTGTGGATGCAGCAGCTGATTTGCTGGTTAGACAGGGCTCTCTTTAGCAGATCTGTTGCTACAAACTAAATGCAGAGACCATTGCTGGTGCCACTGCTGGTGTGGAGGTGGATAAAGGCTGTGATACACCTAATCATGTCTGATGTGCTTACTCATGCACTTGCATTCCAGAGAAAGCAGATTCTTCTTCCAGAGCAGTTCCTGTAAGAGGTGGGAAGTTCACCTGGTTCAGACCCATAAATGCCTTTAGAGGTCCCACTGCAGTGTCCCAGTAACAGGATAGGGGCCTTGTGGCGCACAGGGGACACTGAGGAACAGAGCCTCCTGTACACAGAGCTCTGTATACCCTCTGGCCTGCTGAAGTCTCTCGTATTACCTTTCAGAGTGTCTCCTCATGCGTCTTGAGTACTGAAACCTACAAGTGACACATAGGGTTTCAAGGGGCTGAGTTGCCTCATTTCTTTGGCCGTTTATATTTACCATCAGTCGTGGTGAGATTTAGCCCTGCAGTGTTCATCTTCCTCCTTTGGTGGTGCTGCTTCTGCTAGTCCTTCTTATTAGTCTGCCCACAGGATAAAAACAGTAAAATAAACTTTCCTTGCATGAGTTTCACTTTAAACTGTGTTTACAGGGTGCTGACAGAGCGGTAGAAGCTGTGTGGCCTGACCCCTAAAGCAAAGCTTTTGTGTGTGTGTTCCCAGCACTGTGTTGTTCCTAGGAAGGGAGGACTGCTCCTGGGTGTGGTGAGAAAGGTAGAGACATATGCTTGTGTGGTTTCCTCCCAAGAACTTGATGCCTTTCTCCTGGATAACCTCAAAGAAGGTCAGAGCAAAGCCACAGCCCTGCTTTACAGCTCTCTCTGCAAGCAGAGGTGCTCTCTAGCTTTTGTCTGTGTCTGAAGCCTGGCGTTTTCACCACTTTCGGTATCAGTGTCCCAGCAGGCAGAGAAGCACTTACTTTCCCTCCAGTACCTAGCAGAGATGGACGTGGAAATTACTGGACGTCTGAGCCCTTACAAGTGACCAAGGCTGTCAAATTTGAGTACTTCGTCCCTTGTAGTACTACTAAATTTGGCGCTCCTCTGAGTGTTCATTTGTTCAGCATGAGGTGCACGGTCAGAGTCGTGACATCCCCAACCTCCTCCTTAGCCTGCAAAGCATTTCGAGTGTCGAGTGACTATTCTGTGGGCCTAGTATCAAAGAAGGGCTTCGTAGACAAGCTGAGACTGGTAATGTTCAAGTTACTAACCAGTAAGCTATTGGATTTCAGTGCAGGAAACCCCCCTGTTAGAACTCAGAAGAAACATGAAATTAATTTCCTTGTCAGACTTGTTCCTATGGACACTTTAACGCATAACACCAGCTCATGTCTTTACCTTGTCTTTCCCTTCTTTTTTTCTGTCCTGTGAGATGTTGTGAAAGTAAGCAGTGAGTTCCCATATCTAATTGAAACTAAAGTGAGAGAAGTGATTAGTTTTCAGGGGAAGCAGTTTCCTTATTCCTGTTGTCATCTTGCTCTGGTGAAGAGGTACTGGGATCCTGTTACAGACTTGCAGCACTGGCAAATTCACGTGCCATTGTGGATGCAAGGTATATGGCCTCTAATTCAGTCCTTAGATGCTCAAGACTTATTTCATAATCCTGCATCTACAAAATGCTTCTTGACATCTTTATCATTCAACCCACAAGAAATGCTGCAGGTCCATGGTAGTAATGTCTCAGTACTACTACAGGGTCCTGCCCTTTGATCTGTACAGGACAGTGAGAATATTCTTCAAGTGTGACATTGGTCATGAGAACAATTTACTGTAAAGGCACAGGATCATCTGCTCATGCAGAAATCGTAGTGCAGTGATAGACATCAGCTCAATAAGACCTTATCTCTTTCATTTAAACAAACAAACCAACCCAAACAAAACAAAACAACAACCAAAAAAAAAGAAACAAAAAACCCCACGGGCTTCTTTGTCAGCCTTGCTGCTTAGCTGACTGGTGAGGGCTGAAAGGAGGTGTTTGGCAGCCTGCTGAAAAGCAGGGAAGCCTGAGCGATGTAGCATTGTAAGTGACACGGGTTTTCTCTCGGGCATTTCACCTCTAACTTTTCCCTGAACCATCTGCTACATTCCAGTGTCGAGAATGTAAGACTTGTTTGTGAGCTCTGAAACAATTTGAGCTTTGTGTTGGCTCCATAGCAATCAATCTAGCAGCAATATCTGCATATCATCCTCCAGCTGAGGGTCAGGCTGTGTTTTCAGTCACAGAAAGTAGGTTTTCCTAAAGTTTTGCACACACACACCCCACACCCCCCCCTTCTTGTGTAGCCCTGTTGAGAATGGTGCTAGAAAACTGGATAGCTTTGAGGGAGCAGTTTGAAAAGTTGGTCAGTTGAAAGGAATAAGTTTTTGAATTCAAACCTCACCGTAAGGAACTTGGCATTTATAATTTATGCAAGTGGAGGCAGCGAGTGACCTGATCAGAATCTAGAACTGCTACAGGACATGTTTCTGATGGCGGCGTGTCTAATTGAGCACACGTGGGTACGGTAAGAGCTGCTGGCTAAAACTTGATCAACTTCAGCTAAACGAGTCTCAGAAAAATCACCACTACAAGATTTTATTTTTTTTTTTTTCCTCCCCACCACTTTTCCACCCTGTTCTCTCCCTTCCCTACCCTGTGGCCTTGCAACTTTAGCAGGCGCTGGAGAAATGGGGACACTGAGCAAACAAAAGACCTGTCTCTGTGTGTGTTACCGCTGTGTAGCAGGCTTGTTCTGCTTAGTGGGCAAAAAAAGCAAGTGAAGAGACGACCAAATCTGACTAGAGCTGATTCAAAGTCTTCAGTTGAAGCTGTTGATTTGTCAGTGCTGGTGGTGGTGCGGGTAGGTTTTAGGGAGAAAAAGTATTTTGACCAGTTTTTTCAGCAAGCAGCACGTCTCAAACACAGAAATTGTAGCACAGTGATAGACGTCAGCTCAGTAAGACTGTATCTCTTACATTTAAAACCAAAACAAAACTAACCAACGAAAAAAACCCAACCAACCAAAACCAAACCAAAACAAAATAAACTTCCAAAAAAATCCCCAAATAAACAAAAAAACAACGCACCCAAAAAAAAGAGTTTCTTAGCCCCAGCGATGTTGACTAACCAAAAATGTAAAGGTTACCTTTGGGGGATAGGTTTGTGGGTAGAGCTGTGGATTGTAAAGCCACGTGGCTGCCCTTCCTGTAGTGCGGTGCTGTGTCTCTGACGGTAAGTTGAGGCAGAGCCTGGGAGGGCGGGCAGTGCTTCCTTATCAGGCCCTCCTTGTTGCCCCGGTTCCTGAGCTGAAGGCTGTGTCTAGTGGGTACTGGTGGACTGCTCTTGTGAGTTATTTATCACTTTCCTTTCTAATCTCTATATGCCTTTGACCACCACAACATCCTTTGGAAATGAATTCCTCGTTTTAGTCACATAGTACATTTTTCATTGTTGCTGGGTTTTTTTTTTTTTTGTTTTGGTTTGGTTTTGATTGGTTAGGGGGTTTTTTTAGGATACTTCCTTTAGCTCTAAGCCTGGTATTGAGCAAAAAAAAAAGGCAAGTAGTCATTCTGTATTGTCTCTTTCTACCTTATTTTGCTAATTTTAAAATGCCATTGTGTCCCCTCTCCATTCTTTCTCTGTTTTATTTTCCTTATGGAAAACTGCTGCCTGCATCTGATAAGACTTGTTGCTAGCCTTGTAACATATAGGGGAGCTCTTAACAAATATAAGACATGAATATTTCCCATTTCTGGGTTGAGCACACGCAGTGTGGGAGAAATAAGAGGAGGAGACACCCTGTTAGTGTTCCCCGGGGTGGGGGAGAAGGCTCCAGTACTGGTTCACTGGTTAGAGGCCGTCATGTAGCTCCCCCGCAGCACCTCAGCCTTGAGGCTTAGCTCAGTGGGAGACCAAATGTTGCTGACTTGTGCTGTGACGGGTTTCTTTTGAAGAGGCAGCTGTGTGCACCTGCTTGGGGCTGGGGAATGTCAGAGAGCTCTGTGAGAGATGGATTAGCAGGCAGGGAAGTGACCAATGTTGCCAGAAGAGATTTGGTCGGAACTTGGCGTTGTGAATTCCCACAAAGCTGCCTGCAGCATGTCCAACCGATGTGTCTGCGTGCATCAAAATAAATTAGTGGTGTGGAAACTGGCTGTCACAGCTATTTCATGTGTTGTATTTACAGCAGTAGACCCTGGTCCTACGAGGCTGGACCAGAAAACCTTCTACTCTGCAGGGGAAGGGTTCTGGAACAGAGAATGCAACTTCCTCTTCATTGGTGGGTTTATAAATCAGAAAACAAAGGTTCCCTGGGGAAGACATTGCTGAAATAAGCAGCGTCAGCCCGTCCTGTTAGCGAGCGGCCTCTGTGTGTGCAGGCCTGGTTTCACTTGGAGAAATGGAGAAGCCTACAGTGCCGAGGCGTCCGGTCTCTGTAATTGGTTCCTTTCTTCCTTGCTGTCTGTAGGAAAATCCGCAAGCTGCTTTCCTCCTCCGAAGCCAAGCGAGCCGCCAGACGCCCTTACAAGCCTATTATCCTCCGGCCCATCCAGGCAGTGCAGCTACGCCAGCCCATGAATGATGAACCCATAATCATTGAGGATTAACACACGCTGAGCAGCTCTCCGGATGACAGAGGATCTGCCTGAAAGAATCTCTTCTCCAATATATACTTGAGTTTCTATGGCTACAGCATTGAACTAACTGTTGAAGGGAGGGAACTTTTGAGGAACTGTTTTGCATCTTTTAAACCCTTAAAAGGAACTCGGCCCTGCTCTGAGCCTCTGACCACAGACTGCTCTCTCTCTCGCGCGCGCTCTCTCCTCTCTCCTTTCTTTTGTTTTTTCCTTCTCTTTTTTTTTATTTTTTTTTAAATTTTTGGTAGCCTCTTTTCCCCTTTGCTTCTACCCCTTTTGTAGACAGGGGGAGGGAAAGTAAGTTTAACTTATTAAGAGAATGTGGACTAGTACTTTTTAGCTTTGTTTCCTCTTCCAATGTACGAAGAGCTAGAACCCTTCATTTTTGTGACTGAGCTCTCGTTGCAAAGCCATTTTTATGAGGCTGTGTTGTAAGATTTTTCTTTTTTCCTTTTTTTTTTTTAAATTTTGTGGACGGTGCCATTTTTTATTTCATTTATATTATTTGTTTTGTAGATAAATTTCCAACCTTTAACTGATATTTGGAAATAGGAGCTGAAAACCAGCCCCAGGTTCAGTCAGTTTTCTTTGGTCCTGTCCCTTATGTTTTTTGGATCATTTTGCACGGCCAGTTGTGCTCATGCACAAGACAGAAACAACTCAGGCTGAGAAAGGAGTGAGCTAAGAACTGAAGTACCTTGCAGAACATTACACTAACATTGTGTGCAGTGGAGGCCAGGCTGCCAGAATTAGGTGTCCTTACTCTAGTCAATCCCTGGGAGATCTGGCCCGTGGCATTTCTCCCAGTAACCAGCAGTTTGCGTGCTGCCTTCTCTCTGACATCTGGAATCCTACGTGCTGTTATACCACCAAGACCCAGCAGTAGGCCCAGCAGTCCAGCAAGTGTAATGAATTGCTTTGCTCTGGCTCCAAGAGTCAAGTACACCAATGCCCAGGGACATTTTGCTTAGAACTCTGAACCTGTTTGTGCATCAGTGTGTTTGGACACATCTCTCCCAGGACGAGACCTGGTTTCTCTTTAATTGCGTTACTGTATGTTTCCCATTTTGAAGGGAATTTAAATTTACAGTTGGGTTTTCATTTGAGCACATTGTGTCTGAAATTAAGTGTTTTTTTCTCCCCTTGACATTTCTTGTGTTTGAGGTTTCTTGCATCTCTTGAACTTCTTATGTATTTGCAAATCTGTATAATTTCTTTTTCATATGTCTTCTCATTGCAGTGCATTTGCTGAATGCCCTGCTGTGTTTTGAACGGATGTAAACTATCATTTGCAACTTGTGCTGATCTGTACATGTACCTGCCTCAAGCAGACACAGCATGTAATAACCCCCAAGTCATTCCATATGTGTCAGCGGTGAGATGAGCCAAAGTTGTATTTGGGTTATCACAGTCCAACCGTGATTCTGTGCAACTCTGCTAACCCTCCGGGTTAGACGGAAAGGAATCCCCACAAAATGAAAACAATTCAGTTAACTTTACTTAATAAACCTGGAAAGTGAGCTTTTGTGAAACATCTGCTTTTTGTCTCTTCTGAAATAGCTGCCAAGACCCTTCCTTGCTCGGGGTGCCAGCTGGGGGGTGCGCACGCCTCTGCGCTCCTGCCTTCCCATCCCGGAGCTGTTTGCCTAACGGTGGCGCATCCCCGTGCTGCCAGTGCCGTCGGGTTGTGCAGGGCAAGAGTCATGCGGAGTTTGAGTCCCCTCGCACGCAGTTTAAACATTTCTAGCACTTCAGACTGCGACTCCCTCCCTCCCTCCTTTTAAATGCGGCAGCAGATGCGGTGCTGGAGCTCTGAATGAGCCTTTTGTCCGTGCTGGCTCATGCGTCTTGCTGATCAGGGGCACGACTGGCATGTGGCAGAGTGAAATCCCTGGGGGTTAGCAACCGAGCCCACTGACATTTAGATACTTCTCCATTTCCACATTCACTCCTTACTGGGATAAGCAAAGAGGGCTCAATGTTTGGTCTCGTTTGCTGCTCAGGAGTGGCAAGATTTACTCTGTGGCTGTGAGGAGCTGTGCAAGTTAGCAGGTGTTGTAAGTGTATCCTACACTTCTGGTCACGTTTTCCTATCCATACGTTAAAGCGGGAGGGGAGGGGACAGACATTCCTGAAGGATGTGCTACGTAGGAAGGGCGCCAGGGTTGCTAAAAAAGCCTCCAGGCTGCATGCAACAGTGCAGGACTGCACCAAAGGCCGTTGGCCGTTTTACTTTGCCTCCATCAATCTGTAGGATTAACCCTATGTCCCTAAGAAATGTTGCCGACAGCAGGAAGGTTTTGTAACGCTTGATTTTTCTCTGTGCGGAGAAGGTCTCGTAGGGTTTCCTTCCTGCTTGTTGCAAAACGAAATCTGAAGAGATCACTTTGAAAAAAGTTTGTGTCCGAATTGGCTTAGCTCCTCCGCAGCGGGATTTGGAGGCGATGCCTCAGCTGTAGCAGAGGGCCGTGCTCTGCCTTGGTGTTGGGGGAGCCCTGAGATCCCTGCGTGCTGGGGGCGACGCACTTCGGCTACGGGGTGGGTGACCTCTTGATGAGACTTGAGAGAAGCTGTTCAGGCCCAGCGTAACCACATGGGGGTGCCAGCCCTGCAGTTTCCAGCAACTTAAAAGCTTTCTTGGAGCAGCTCCAGAGGTTACTCTGGGAACGAATCCAGGCAAGTGGAGAGAATATCCTGTGCTGCCCTGACTTTGAAGGATCCCTTGCATGTCCTTTAACATGGATGCCGTTTTTCGGCGTGCGGTAGCAGACGTCGCTCCCTTGTGTTTCGCTGGCTTATGCTTGTGCCAGCTTGGGAGGAGGGGTTGGAAGAGACTTTTGGCAATTAAGGAGAAATTGCGGCACAGCAAGTGCAGAGCGAATGGTAGGTCCCACCGCTGACCTATCTAAGCCGGAGCTGTCGCTCCCTTAAGCCTGCCGCTGCCACTGAGCCTCTCCTACCCCAGCCCCTCAGCCGTATGCTGATGTGTTGTTGCTGCAGGGGTCGCCTTTGGTTATTCCCACTCTGTCGAGCCTTGTATAAAAGGTAAGGACAGCTGGGGCAGGGTCCCATTTCCAGTGTCCCTTCCACCTCCTAAAGAGCCCGTGAGATGGTAGGGGATAAATTGTTGTGGGAGTCACAGTGAGAGACACCAGGCTGGCCTTTGGGCACGTGAGCTCCACGGTGCAGGGCCTGGCGTTTGGGACTGCTCGCCCTCCCGGAGCAGGTCGTTTCTACTGCGCACATCTCTGGTTTGTAGCAAGTTTTGCCGTGTGCGCTTGGGTATTTTCCTTGAGCCTTGTGTCCCTGGCTTCCCCATCCTTCACTTGCTCTTCTGCCTTGCAGAGGTGGGAGCAGACATGTCACAGGCTCAGCTGCGATCCCTTGGAGAAGGCTGTGCTTCACGCTCACGTGGATGGAGCATGCTGGCCTCCAGACTCACTACCATGCTTACGACTTTACAGGCTTAAAAACAGTGGGGACCAGGTCACGAAAGCCTTTTGGAAACAAAACAAAAATCCAAACATTCCTGCAATACTTTATGACAAAATAGTTTTGTTACAGGTTTCTTTTTTAGTTAATTTTGGGGTTTTTTGCTTTGCATTTTGCATTTTACCAGCTTGTCAGTAGCAGCTGCCTGTGATCCTGCTTTTGATGCTGTAACGTGAAAGCTGTGCGCTGTCTGTAACAGCACTGTTGAAATAATGTGGGGAAAAAAAGCAAAGCGTGACCAAAACTAACAATTCCGAACCTGGCATTCCT